TTTCAGTTTGAGAAAAGTTCCTCTTTTTCGGCCTTTTTGCCACGATGATGACGACAGGTGAGGGAAAAATAAATCTTCACTTGTTTTGTGAAGAGGCGTGTTGTTGCCATATACGGTGATTTGGAGGCGTTCCTGAAGACAACGTGCATGAGCACGGAGGTTAAGAACAAGTGGGATTTATCAACACTGATGTGCGTATGACCCCTGTATGCACGTTTGATAAATAAAAATCTTTTTGTACTTACGCACACTCTAAATTTCATGCATACGACAGAATTTAGAACCTTTTCTATGCACTGATGATAAATGAGGCCTCCGGGATCACACACTCACTAGCATCTTTGTCCGCTGCTGTGATGTCCACAGTGTTGCTCTTTAAAGTCTATCACACACACAGGGGGAGTCTTCTTCCTGAAGGGGACGTGGACATCAGCATCTTACTTGTATTTGAAACTACAGCAACTGAAACTGCTCATTTAGAACAGGGCTAAAACCAGTCATACAGTCAGGGTGGAAATACCCATCTTTGTGGTATTTTGTGCTGAAAAACAGAAAGAAACAAAGTGGGGACATGTGAGGCTTTCAATAATGTGTTGAAAAGAGGCACAATATTAGTCCTCTAAAAAACGCCCTGTGGAAACAGACACCTGTAAATACGGCACATCTGCAGCGCCTACACTCCTACCTGCATACAGCTGATGCTGCCGAAGCTCTAAAAGACACAAAGTCCTGCTCACAACGGCAGAGAGTGCACTCTCATTACGGCACATCACCTTTTCCAGTGGATGCTTTTTTATAATACATCCTTGCGGGCAGAGTGTTTTCATATGCTTTTAATTCCATTAGAGTGTGACTGCAGCATATATAATGTAGACACGGCTGATTGGTGATATTATCAGATACCTGTATGTTTTAGAGTGCCACGCTAATGTGACACTAGGAATACTGATTAGCTCGATCCAGGGATGTACGCTTGACATTGATGTTATGCTAATGCAGCGCCACTCTCCCGACTGTGTCCACACACACACACTGAGCACCTTCTAACATTAGCCGTGAAGTTTCATATGATCCTCCGATAATGGAAACACATTTTATTCCAAGGGAGCGTCGGAGGACACTGAGTATAATCATGGCTGTGTAAATAATAAGCTTATACCTATTCATCTTTGTCTCTTACCTTTGTCTCTCTTCTAAATCATTCACATAAACATGCAAGGGTCCCCCTGAAACGTATTACACGTTGTTTTACAAAGAGCAATATATGACCTTCGATTTTGCATCCGGAACACAGCACAGTGCATTATAAATCAAGCTTAGGAATATAAAATATAAATCAGCCTGTGTGATTAATTTTTAAAGTGTAAATACAAGATTAACCCTGGCCTCACTGTGTTTGGCAGTGGTGTGTCAATATCATAGAGACAAACAACTGTAATCAGTGTGACAGAAGCCTCCCTGAGGTAACCAGAGGGAGCATCATTGTGATTTGTATTTTAAAAATCGATTTATCTTGTGCGTATGAGGTTTCAGCAACAGCAAACCCAGCATTTTAATAGAAGTGACAGCCCGCTGGTTGGAACATGCTGTGTCTTATATGTCCTGATGGAAGACTGCGTGTGTTTTGTGTGTTATGTTTTTGTGAGTGAGCCTTTGTCTTGTATTAAATCTGGCAGCAAGAAGACAAGATGCGCTGCTCTCAATTGACTTTATTTCATGCAATTATTCTTAATCGATTCATGCATGGATTCTCAAACATACCATGCATCCAAATACCATCTTTCCCAACAGCAATGCAGTTGTTTCAGTATTTAAGGGAGGGGGGTAACTTATTATTGAATGTTGTTGCCTTTTACTGCTCTTTCTCAGCAGGGTGAATCTATAACACAAGAAAAATGCAACAAGCAAAAATAAATGAAGCAACTTCATGAGAGAAGATACTGTAAAAACAACAGCCGGTAAAGAAATCTTAGATGAAAAGCTCGATCGGTAAATAAATATGTTAATTGGGGTTATCATGGGGTTGTTTTCAGCTTTGTGCCAAAACAGCAAGTCAGTCTAACCTCTAAGATAAACCATCAAAGTTCCCTCCTCTGGCCATTCCCATTGCACTAATACGCTGAACCAAGCAATAGATGTGAACGTCTTAATTACGGTGCTCTCTGAGATAATGATAACGCCTGCATTAGCCTGCTTGAAGACAGAAGCACACACACACACATCAGCGTTGAATGTTAAAGCAAGGTTAAAGCACGTCTTTGAGTAAACACCATTTTGTGCTTTCTTCCTGCTGTCTTCGTAGATTAGCACTGACAAGGAACTTTAATAGCTTTAATTGTGCAGAATAAAAATTAACAAATTAGTAGCGAGGTCAAGCCTAACCTTCATTACCAGCTGCTCTGATTTCCTCCGCGGATAATCATCATATAGATTATCCTATGTTTGACTCTCACCGACTCCTAAATCCAGCCTCTTTGTGCACGAACTGTTGTTGCCCATCAAGTGCTGTGCAAGAATATGCAGACAAATGGAGTAAACATCATGAGCATTCACTTTCAAATAAAGTTTTATCATGCAGTATCCCAAATTACTTGAGCTTGGGCACGCATAAACCTTACAAACATTTCCTTAACTGGTTTTTGATGAGCCCAATGTATATCTTGCCCACCCTTAACAGCAGCCACCTTTATATATATATATATATATATATATATATATTACACTTCATTACATTCACTTTCATTAAATTGCAAAGAATGTCCTTGTAGAGAAGAATATTTACTGTAAAACTACAGAAGTATGCCAAATTATACATATTTAAAAACAACAGATTTTGGGGACGCCCCTATAGCTCACTTAGCTGAGTGGGCGACCCATGAACAGGGGCCATAGTTCCCCAATGCAGCAGTCGTGGGTCCTGCTCAGGACCCTGTGCTGCAGGTCTTTCCCCGTTAGTCTCCCCTCTTTCCTGTCTATCTCTACTTCTCTAAATTAAGGCAAAAAGACCAAAAAATATATAAATAAACACATTTTTACAGGTTTTCTATGGTAATTTTACGAACTTTTCAGTCATATTAAATTACAAAATTTTCCCCTAAAAATACCCAATTTTTAATACAAATTTTATCAGATTTAAAGTATATTTCAGTTATTCTTTAGGTGATAATCTTTTGTCTTCCATTATCTATTCAGAGTTTAAAGGTGATTACCATTTAATAAGAGACATTTTTAAATATGTTTTTTATTTTATTTTTTTTGCAGTTATTTTTCATTAAATTCCAATAACGACCTTCTTGGAGCAGCTGTAACTGGTAAATGACAGATGTATAGTGTATTTGTGGCACATTTAGTCACGGTTCTATTTCCTTCAGGTACTGCTAAAGAAATGTTTTGTTTTAATGTATTTGTGCTGGCAGCAGAAAAAATACAGAGATTTGTCAGATTTCCCATGTGTTACTGTTTTCATAAATCAGTTTACTGCGACAAGTAGGTACATGCTCAAAGCAGCAGCTCACATGCTGAAAATGGCAAGTTTTATTAATGCTTTGGCTCATGTAAAAAAGCAGTCCTGCTTGGTATTTTCAGTGAAGTTTCGGTGTATGCAAATCTTCTGCCAAATTAATGCTCCCATCAGTATTTTGAAGGGCCACTGTTGCTACATCCTGGGCTTAGTGGCACTCAAGATGACTGGGATTGTTTTACAGACATACAAACAAGCAATGGTGTTTTTTTCCTTATAGCAGAACAATGATAGACAGAGCACTGAGCAGTGTCACAGCACTGCGGTGACTGGTATGGCTCTGCTAGACTATGCCCACCCAGTTGACAGTTAGGAAAGAAAGTTTAGCCAATTAAAAAATAGCAAATAAAATACCAGTACAGTTTCTGACTTCTGATTGGGTAATCCGGCAACAACCCGCCTCCAAAGTCACACATTGTACAGACAGTCCATGATTGTCAAAGCAGGTGAAAGCATACAAGGTAAAATCACACACTGAACTTGTGCAGAGATAGGAAGTAATTTATAGTCTAAATGTTAAAGGTTGTGTTTGTTTGTTTATTTATATCAGGGATCATGTACAAAAATATGAACCTTAGGAAAAGAAAAGAAATGTCAGCATCTTTCCTTGAACCAACAACATTTAGGTTCTAAACCAGCCTCTCTAATCTTTGGGTTACAGACTGCCCAAGTTACCTGCAACAATCCCACCCTAATACAGCAGGATAAAACCAATCCTGCTTGTGTTTAGACAACAAATTTGAGAAAAAAGGTGAAGCAAATTAATTTGCAAACCCACAGTGACTCCTAATCTTTCAGTTAAAAGTCAATATGGCTGTAATTATTGTCAGGTAGAGAATTGGCGCACTTACAGTGAAACACGGTGCAGTATAGGTCTAACAGCTGGGTGAGCATGGCATCTATCCACACACATGAAGGCTGAGGTGTCCTACTTGTGTTGGAGAGTGTTGTGTGCGTCCCACAGTTTACCTGTTTTTCATACATTCCCCCTTAAGATGGAGTGCTCTCCACCACCGCGAGAGTGACTTGTGAAGGGCTGCTGAAGAGCGATCCATTTGGGAAGCGGCCTTTGTCATCTTATGTCCCTCAGGATGAACTGCTTTGCTTGATAAATGTTTGCAATTATGTGTGGAAATACTTACATTTTAATTGGAGTCGGCTACAATTTTAAAGTAGGGCAATGCAGCTTGAAAAACAATCGTCAGTTAGCCTGTAAAGTAAATGTGCAACACATTTCATATTTGGCTGTGCTGCAGAGAGATAAATGCTGAAAGTGAGTCAGAGCAGGACTTCCAAAGGACCGAAAACAGCGAGGAAGAGATGGGAGGAAACGTGTGTGGGAGTGGTGTACAAAGGAGCTGTTTTTGTTAATAATGGAGAGATCCTTAGGACACCCTTAAAAGCTGACGCTCAGTCCCTGACACACATTCATTGTTAGACCACACAGCCTTCCTCAAGAAAATACTGTAGTAACCACATCATGAGAGGACAAAAAGAGATTTTAGAGAAACTGGCAGGGACCTTCCACATCCAGCATGTGCTGCTCCGCCAGGCCCTGGCAGAATGCCTGGGAACGCTTATTTTAGTGGTGAGTAAAGACTGTTTTTGCATCATTCCTGCAGCGTGCTAAACGGATCAGGTAAATTACAAAATATTAATTGTACACAGTATAAAGCAGTTGTTATCTTAATTTTATTTAAATATGTAGGATCATTATCTGCTCAATTAAATGGAATTTAATCAGAAAGTGCACTTTTTTATTGCACTTTTTTTAAGGAAATTTGGAAAATACATGTGAACGTTTCATGTCAATTTAAAAAAAAAATTTTTTATCAAATGCATTTTTGTTTAATTCAGAAACTTCACATATGGATAATTTAATTGTTAAAATATCTTTAGGTAAATAAGGACCTAAAAAAGTTGATGATTAATATGAGATGCATGACTTGTGTTGTTTCTTTGCCATTTATTTTAAATATTGGAGAATCAAACAACTTTTTATATTCCTGAAGGTATATCTAAGAGGCTACACTGTTGGTTGAAAATGGCCCAAAATAATAATAAGAACTTTTAAAAAAGCACTACTTGTGAATATGCCTGAGATGATGTTCAATTTTTAAAATACGAGACAACACAAGAAAGAGGATGCATAAGTAAATCCATGGCAGTCAACGAGCCAGTTACGTGATCTAACCAATCAATGGATCCAACAACAATTAAAGGTCAGTGAGCTACATAATTATTGTCTGGAGTTTAATATATCACCAGCAGACGCGTCTAACAAGCTGCAAGAGGTTTTGCTTCCTACAACCTACAGCTTTGCTCCAGTTTCTCAGTGCAACGTGAGGAAAGAGAAAAAGAGCTTTTGAAAAAGCCCCGAGGGATCCTGCATCCTTCATGTCCAACATGTTTCTGCTGAGGAAGTAGTGAGGCTGTTATCATGTAAGGCAAAAGTTTAGCTGTTTGATGACAAAAAGAGTTCATAATTTATTTTTTTTGTAATGTCCTCTTCTGTAAAGGCTGATTTGATGTTCAAACAGAACTGTTTACAGTCGTGGTAAAAGGTAAAGAAAGTTTGCTGCTCTCTTCTCATTAAATTGCTGCTCTCTTAGATATCTAAGAAGTCAAAGAAATTATATTCACAAGAACTTTAAAGCTGAAGCACCTCAAACTCCATCTGTTGTCTCTTTGGTTCATTTCTTTCTTTCTACTTTCATTAAACACATTGACCCTTATTATTTCATATGTGTAATTGGGGACTTTTTGCGAGTATCTGTGGCCACCTCTGAAACCCATTCCAACCCACCTGAAAGCCACAAGATTGTTTCACATTAAAACGAAATGTTTTCACTCTATTTTTCATGGTAACCCACAGACAACAAAAATATCAGCGAAGGGCACCTGCGGTGAAACGCCAGGCCATTTATTATTCTGCTCCCCGGCTGTGACTGATCTGTTAATTCCATGAGACCTTTCACTCTGCTGGCAGTCGGGTCTCCTCGGTGGTCAGAGTTGGCCTTCTGTGGACGACTGCTCTGCAGGGGAAGTCTGATTGTTGTCAGCATCAATAATCCCACACAAAACCCACCCATAACATACACATGACCTCTGAGGTCAGAGAGACACACCCTGGATAAGACGAAAAGCAAGGCTCAGCCAGACACCTGGCTCGAGGTCGGCCCACTGTGGAGCTTTATTATTCTCTGTGAAGTTTTTCTACCACTGTCTAGAAAAACAACTTCAGCTACGAAGTGTTTATGTTTTTGTGTTTGTTTTTTTTTTCTTTTCTTTGCTGCATATTTGTGGTTGTATCTCTAAATGGTAAAATCAATGGAAGTAGAACATGTTAAAAAGGCATAGCAGACAGATGTGCTAAAAATGTACCCATATAGGTTGTCTGATTTGCTTTCCGTCCTCTGTCTAGATGTTTGGTTGTGGTGCGGTGGCGCAGATGGTGCTGAGTGAAGGATCTCATGGCACATTTCTCTCTGTTAACCTCGCTTTTGGTTTCGCTGCAACTCTAGGCATCCTTGTGAGTGGAAAGGTCTCAGGTGAGTATTTACTGTATTTCAAAACAGCACAGGTGTTTCACCATTTCCTTAAAGCTGCGATAGGCAGGGATCTGGAGAAAGTCAAAAAAGAAACAGCAGAATCTGTATGGCCAGTTGCTATAACATTTGATATCTAGAGTTGCAGATATCTGTAATCCAATTCTTACAGTCTAAAAGTACATTTCATATATCCACAATGTCATTCTTCTGAGGACAAATGACATCACTTTCACCTTTCACGTGAATGGAGTTCCAGTGACTGATATCTTCAATTCAGTTGTAAATATCCACAAATCACATCGTGGATATTTACAACTGAACTATGACTAGCTGTAATTAAAGTTTGTAGAGTATAGTTCATTAGTTAAGTTCAAGATATCTACGTTGTCTTTTTAAAATATTTAAAATTAATTTTGAGTTAGCGGGAATGATGTAGCACAGTTCGTGTCCCGGTGAGGATGCCGGTGATCTTTCTGCGTGGAGTTTGCATGTTCTCCCCGTGCAGTGTGGGTTCTCTCCGGGTTCTCTGGCTTCTTCCCACACAGTCCAAAAACATGTTGCGGTTAATTGGTGATTCTAAATTGTCAGTAGGTGTGAATGTGAGTGTGCTTGGTTGTCTGTCTCTAAGTGTGAACCTAGTGAGGATTAAGTGGTATATAGATAATGGATAGATGGATGGGAATGATTGAGTTAGCTTAAAGTAGAGCGTTGACTAGGCAAATGACAACATCTGTAATGATGTGAGAAGCAAGTGGGAGGCAGAGGAAGCTTTACTTCTCAACCAGACTGTGGCACTGCAACCATGACCATATATGACAAGCTGTTTTACCGCCATGTCAGAGCAGCCAGAGGTCACAATTTGAGTACATTTTGATCACAAGTCTGTAATTAAGTCCCATTCTTCATAAACTCCTTGCTAATAAACTCCATTTCATGGCATTATCTAATGATCTTATCCACCACAGGAACTGTCAGTGCTTCTGCAAACACTTTTCGAATGCTGGATTAATATCCAGTGAGAAATCTCACATGTGTAGCATCAGACAGATTAACAATTCAAGACAACTGTGTCTTCATCAGACAGAAAGTCAACAAATACATGGAGCAAACACATATATTGAGCCTAAACCAGGTCTACAGTTGTCAATAGATAGATGAGTAAACACAATTTCAAAATTTATGGGGGAAAAAAAATCCAACAGTTGAAGTTGCTATAGTCAGTGTCCAAGTACAAAAAGTATCAGAACACACATTTGTCAAAAGTGACAACCCAGAAAGAAAAAAAAAAACAATGGATCAAGCAATTCATAATGTCAAAGGGCTAACACTGTGACAGAAACAAAACTAACCTCTTAAAGTTAGAAGCAAGTAAGGTACAAGTCTGGTTTCCTCTCACACCACTTGAATTACAATATGTTGAAAGGTTATTCAAGCGTTTTATGCACTGATTACTGCCTACCTCAGCTTTAAAATCTTATCAACCCGTATGTTGTCCTCAAGATCTCCAACTCCCTTTAAAAGCTATGAAACATTTGTTTTATCACCATGATACTTTGACTTCTCAGAAATTGACATTTAATTGCTGACTGTATAAATGTGATTTGGAACAGACGCAGACTTTAAAGTGCATTTCTGTTACTGGAGTTTTATTTGAGTCCTGTAACAGCTGCTTCATAAAGGTCTAAAGAGGAGAGTCCACTGCCTGCTATCAAATTCTACTCACATGCAAGCGAGGGGCTCGCTAGTAAACAAATGTGTAAATAAGCATCCTATAACTTTCTCCTACAGTTTATGACTTTGTGCCAAACAGCATTTCATTTTTGTTTGTACCTGCACTCTTGGAGGCAAGAGACATATAAAAACAGGAATCCCAGAAACTCCACTAACAGTCTTGTTCATCGGACGCAGGTAAAGACTAAACCTCTGCCCCACCGCTGCACTACTCTTGTGTTGTCATTCTGACAACTCATTGCAGAGCCTTTGGGTGAATGTTTCATTCATTTGCACAAAACTGAACATGTTCAACTGTGTACTGAGCAGTCCTGCAAAGTCTTGTGAATGAATGTTGCATTGCATCACACCATATTCAGTGAACATACAAAGCATGAATGCAATGATAAATAATGTATTTTATGCTTATATTGCAACAACCAGGGCTACCACTTAAATAAAACATTTTATAAGGTTGGAAGAAATCCTATTTTAAAGCAAAAATGGCTGATTTTGCTGCGATCAGTACTGTTGTGTCTTCGTGACAACAATAAGGGAGAAAGATAGACGTCAACAAAATATAAGTGGATTTCAGAATTAGGAAGACAAGTTGGGAAAAGGGAGGAAAACTTTATTATCATCCAGAGAATCACACTTAGTTGAGCCAGACTCAATTTGCATCACTGTCATGAAGTACCTGTCATTCAAAGTGTGTTTCCAAAAGACTAAGCTTTTCTTCAACTTCCATCAGCATAACAGGGAGTCATTATTATTGATGGCTTGACAGGCACTAAATATCAGCAAAAGGTAAACTGGCAGTTATCTGAAGTGCAGTATTTACCACACTGATGTGTTTGCAAGATGAATAACAATTAGAGGCGGCAGAGGGAAGCAGAACAGCATGCAGTGGACAGAAGAATGCAAAGTTTAAAAGAGACACACAGACAGAATGAAGGGGCGCTTACCCCTTAACTTGAAAACTATGTGGTCTGTAATTGAAAGGATAGCGAGCAAGTCAATTCTCCATCCCAGTATCTCCTGTCAAAAGCAACCACACTACAAAGGCTTCCACAGTTCACTCATGCTCACTTCTTCAATGTCTTTATAATGAGGCTGTCCCACTCTAATACACATCGGAGCTGAGAAAATAAGCTCTTATAATTAGATATCTCCAACCCTGACACAATTAAGGTGTGAATGCAAGTGAGGCACCCACATGAGTGTGCCATCAGAGCAGTTCTTACCCCCCCTTCAAGGTTAGGAAAAAGGAGACTTTTCTGAATCTTTTCATCCCTCCAATTTAATTTGTGTCACAGAGACCTTCCGTCCTAACAGGCCTACTGAGACTGTAGTTACTGAATGTACAGTGTGCCTCTGTGTCACTGGGAAAAGGGCAGCTATAGTGGATGCAGCCGAGATAAAACAGCCTCTGTGTGTTTGTTGGTTTCATGGTGAACAACACAGAATCTGATTGTGGATGCATGCATATGAATATGGCGATGTTTTTCTCATCTTAAGGTGGTCATCTGAACCCAGCATTGACATTCACGCTGTGTTTACTTGGGAGAGAGCCTTGGAGGAAGTTCCCGCTGTTCTTTTTCTTCCAGACGCTTGGAGCCTTCCTGGGTGCGGCCGTCGTATTTGGAATGTATTTCGGTATGTACGAGAGAACAACAAGCCAATTAATTGAATCGTTAATGTCGACGCAGTCATGCAACTTCAATATTTCAATATATCCCAGTTGGTTGTTGTTCACTCACTGAGACACTTATCCAGGTCGTAGGAGGAGGAGGCGAAACCTGGACGGACGGCTTTTAATCAAAGATTTCCTTCAGCTTACAGCAGTTCTGTGGTGACATTTAATGATTTGGTCTACTACTTATAGTAGTTTGAGCAAAGCCAAATGGTCTGAGCTCTGTGCACCCATGAATAAGTCAGCATTTACACACGCACCTTTTTCTGCAGTTCAAAACTAACTTTCTTCCGCTGAAACTCCTACACAAGACATCAATTAGGCTGTCTCCTTCCCACAAACTCTGGAAGACGTAGTTATCGAAAAATAATTGTGGCTATACCTGGGTCTAAAGTTAAGGATACCCTTTCAGTTAATATAAGAAAACACCCCAATTTGCCACCTTGCAGGAAAACAGACAAACAAACCAAACGCTGATAGCAGCTCTGTGAGGCTGCACACACTGCTGACATAAGCTATATGCTGTTACCGGCACGCTACCATACTGATTTTAAACAGGTAATGCTGAGCTTACTGCTGGGGAAGTCATTAGTTTTGTTGTTTTGTGGCAATGGACCAAATTATCCAACAAATGGAACTTTTGTCCTGCTTATAGCACTCAATAAAAAGTTAAAGGATCACCAAAATTCTTTCAATTTATCAAAAAAATGTATGCAATTCCTTCCAATAGTCGTTGAGATACTTCAGTCTGGACCAAAGCAGAGACTGACAGCCTGACTGACAGAGCCACCCTCGAGCCATGCCACCAGCACGACTAAAAATAATCATGGATACACCTTTGTTAAGGTGTTCGAATTTAACTGGCAAATTAGAAAAATAGAGGAAACAGCCTGCAATGCAAAAATCCATTGTGAATCCCTTATTTTGGAGTAGACTGACGGTGGAGTACATCTTGTACTCTCAATAGGGCTGTGCGGTGTTCATACATGCATTCATCGATTTCTGTTTGTATGGTTTGAGTGTGTGTGTTGTTTTGCCCTGAGTATGTTTTTCTCTGTGCTTGCATTTGGCGATATATTTGTAAATGCGTGTGTGTACACAGCGACCATTCAACGCTGACTATTACAGGAGCTAAATTTTAAAAAAGAGACCAAATTTCCAAGGCTTCCAATGTTTATAGTAGCTCTCAACGTTTTTTGTCTAAGATGTGAAGAACACTTTGATAATATTTTTTATGTGACTTGAATACAAGCTATAATTTAGTGTGCCCGCAATTAGAGGCTTTTATTCTCCAATAAATGAGGGGCAGTGTAGAAAAAGAAGCAAATCCAAAGTTTCGTTTTAACAAAGCATTAACAGCGTGAAGGGGGACTTGAACTGACAGCTGGGTTCCTATAAGCTTTCATTGTTAAAATACATGTACAATCCATCATGAAGAAGAAAAAAAAAAGATTTTAAATTGATTTGCACACTTTTGCTTTTTTTATTTTTTATTTTTTTACCAGAAGCATTGTGGGACTTCGGCCAGGGACAGCTGATTGTGGTGGGGAAGAATGCCACAGCTGGGATTTTTGCAACTTACCCAGCCAAACATCTCACCCTGGTTAATGGATTCTTTGATCAGGTAACAGTGACTTGATTACTTAAGTATTTCAGTGAAAAAGCCTTAAAGCAGCCCACCTCCCACTAACCACAACCTCTGGCTGCAACAGTACTGCACATGTGAGCTATTTTTAACATAAGAGTCTATTATGTGCAGTGTTTAAGTAAAAAAAAAAAGAAAAACTATCAGAGATGAATAGATTCTGTGACGCATGCTTGGCACTAGTTTCTCAGCATGCTATTACAAATCAAATTGTCTACAGGAAGTGGTTGAGAAACCACTAACAGTTTTAAGCTCAAGCAGTGTTACTCACTGCGCAGCTCACGAGCCTCATGCGGCTCGCCCGGCTTTAGTCAGCAGCTCTGTCTGTGGATAATAATTATATGATAATGCAGCCAATACTCATAATCCCTACAATGCTCAAAACAGCTATGATAGACAAGCTGGCAGGATAGGCTGCAAATACAAGACCTATACAGTAGCTCACAGTTGCCAGTTTCAGCAGCCCTCCAGAGCACCCCGATGGCAGAAGTGCTGTTGGACGAGTAAATAAACAGAGAGCCAGAGATAAATAGGGTCAGTAAAAATAAGATTGCATATGGAGAGTACAGAACTATTACAACATGCAATCATTTGGATTTTTACTGAATCCTGAAATAGTGCCACTGAATTCCATTTAAAAAAAAAATCAATCAGTGCCTCCCACCTGACCCCATGAGACTCTGGGTTTTTTTTTTTTTAATATGCAGAAACGTCAGTATGTTTAATGATGCCATGCAAAATTTTACCAACAGTCGTCCTCAAATGTATTCATACCCTTCCTTTAAAGAAAAGGCAAAATTCACAACAGTCACTGAAATTACTAGAAACTGAAAAAAGTAATAATAAATAAAAATGTGTTAAAATATAATTTAGTGAAATAAGACATTGCTTTGAATTGTGGTTGAAAAGAATAATTTTGAAAAAAACAAAACTGTCCTGGACAAATTAGACTCTTTGCTGATGAGCAGTGGGCCAAAATCCAAATACCTGTCAACAAGTGCAGAAGTCTGATTGAGAGTTACAGAAAACACTAGATTGCAGTGATTGGCTCAAAGGGTTGATCAATAAAATATTAGTTTATGGGTCCCATCATGTGTGTTTGCTTGTGTATTTATTTATTTATTTACAAATATTTCTGTTGAACGACAATTCAAAAGCAATGTCATGATGTTCATTAAATTTTTATTTATTATTACTTTTGTCAATTTCAACTTATTTCAGTGACAGCTGATTTTTTTTTTGTTTCCTTCTTTAATGGGAGGATATGAATACATTTGAGGACAACTGGACATATTATGAATGTTTTCTGAGTTACAGGCCCTTGAAACACAGGTCGAAATTTTCACTTTTTGTTAATTTGTGTTCTTTTTTCTATCCCTTTGAGCTCCCGTAACTTCACAACTACAGATGATAGAAACATGACATTTTCAGGCCTTAAAAACACATTTGAGCTCTGTAACCAAATCAATTTTACATCAACTCTGAAGCCCAAATCTTGTTTATGCTCAGCATGATTTTCTCTATAACCATCTTTAAGCATCACTATCATGGGGTGTGTCAGAGTCAGAGTCGTAAAACTGAACCAGCTTAAAGTCTATCACACTGAGTGACAGAAACAAGCACTGGTACCTTGGATTTGATAACTCACTGGAGAAAATGTTAAAAAGCAAATTGTGGGCAACCTTTCAAGGCTCATATTAGCATGCGGGATAGCTAGTTGGTAGTTTATCTTCTATCAGTGATTCCTTTTGTGTCAAAGCTGTTTTTTAAATACAGTCAAATTTTAACACTTGTGAATGTAGCTTATGACATGTTTTACATAACAGTTTGGACCAATCAGAATGATCAGACCAGTCTGGAACACTGAGTGCTTGTTTGAGAGCCTTTCAGATTCTACTCCGATAATGTTCAGTTCTTGTTCCGTCAGTTTGTTCTATTGAACCGTTTCATCATCAGATTGTGAACAACAGTGATGTTTTAACTAGTGTTAACTCTTTAGATTATATGCCCAGACTGACTTTATGGTACAAACTAAACTTCACATTCTCATGATGACGAGCTGGGAAAATACTATTTTCATTACATCACGATTATCAGGACTGGGCCTGTTGCATGTGATATCAGTATAAAATGGAAGTTACACTTGTATATTGCACCTTTGTACACATTAAATACATGAACAGTGTTAACTTAGACTCATCATGGTTCTGTTTTCTTGAGTGAATTTAAATTTTGCAGGTGTCAAATAGCAAAAAAAATATTTGGACAGAGAGAATCCTCCCTAGAAGAAGAGTCTGGTATCAAAATCCGGTAAAAAAAAATTAGACCTTTTATTTGTTATAACTTGCTTTTACAGACCACCTGTTCCACATGGTGATGTGAGCCTAAGTTAACCTAAAATGCACTTTTTAAGTTTTCTGCAATGAAATATTAGAAAACAGATCCACACATCCAGGGTATCAATACGTCTTTCCATTCCACTAAGTCACAGACATTACACTGGTATATTGTTGCTATTGAAACTATGATATATCTCATGATGTTGATGCTCAAATCCGTGCTGGACAAAAACAAGATTTTGGCTTTAGATTGTGACCCCTGGAGTGGATGTAAAATTGATTTGGTTGCAGTTCAAGTGTGTTTTTCATCCCTGAAAATGTCCTCTGTTTATCACCTTAAGGTATAAAAGTATGAGGACTCAAAAATCCTGAAAGTAGTAAGAAGAATTAAGATGTAAAAAAAACTTCCAGCCACCCCTGTGTACTTCAAGGGCTTGAACTAAAAATATTAAGTTTGAAGATAAAGTTTTGCATGGCTTTATTAAATATAACAAAGTAATTGTAGGATCATGTCAGAATTTTTTTTTCAGATTTGGTTGCTTTTATGTTGAATAAGCCAGGGAGGAAACTATCATCAATCTGCAAAACGCTGCCTATCTCAAGTAGTAGCTTCCATTATTACTCAGGCTATTCAGGGTCTCATTCAAGCCATTATGTAGTACACCAACAATAAAACTGGACCCATTTTAAATCAAACAAAGTTGTGAACCAGATGGAGAGAAACATGGCAGTGCAGCAAGTGAGGAAAATAAAGTCAGAGCAAGCAGCAGCTGAAAATCAAAACAAAGACTGCAGGTGGTCAGTGTATAAAAAGAAGAGAGAGAGAGAAGAAGAGGTAGAAGCTATACAAGATGAGCAGGAAATATCAAGAAATATGGACAGGCATGGTTTTGTTTGTCCTCCGCAGACATGAATCCAACACAAAGTGTCTGTTTTCAAGCAGACAAGTAACTTGGAACATTTCCAGGTCACGCATCCAAAAATTGGTTTTGTGTTTTTATTGAGAAAGAGGCTTGATTGCCAGGATTCCATCCTGACCATGCAGAAACAACTGGGTTGAAAAATGAAGCCAAGGCTCCGGTGCCAAAAACTGCAGTTCCTTAAATGGCCACTTGAGGCTGCATCTAAAAGTTGATTAATACCCAAAGACCCCCATGTTAAAAAAGACAACTATACAGCATAAATAAAACATGTTTACATGCTGGAACAGAACACAGTTTTGGCCTCTATGGACAATTTCCCCATTCATGATGACTGAACGACAGGTCTGCTTTTATGTAAGTGACCCTTTCAAATTGCATTAAGGCTTAAAGTCCTGAAAAATTAAGGGTGCAGCCACTTTAAGTAACAGAGGAGTAAGTTGTGGACTGATTGGTCACCTTCATACCAGTTCTACCAGAAATGGCTTAATGCAAATAAATGGAACAGACCAGGCCAGAATGTTTTAGTTATCAGAAGATGACACAATACTCAACATCTTCAACAAGAGCATTTTTGCTCCTATGAACTATTTCAGTTTCTCTTTGAATACATTTCCAAGACCTGCATTGTCACTGCAATGCACTCCTTCTGTAGATGTGTTTGTAATACAATCAGCACCCAGGAGGCAACATTGCAGCTCTTTGCAGCTCTGATCGGCCATCCAGCAGTGCTGCCCTTGCCTCCCAAGTTGTCCACCAGGGAGTGCTGCTGCTGCACTCATATAGATACTGCCATGTCTCGTCATGTAAAATGATCTCCGCCATATCCTTTGTGAAGCTGATTGTTGTCAAGTCCAGACCAAGTGAACAAACAGTCTCCTTGAAGTGTTTCCACCATCCAGTGAAGTCAGTATACATCAGTGGAAGTTCTACAGTGTGCTCCTTCTGATGAAACTGACTGCCAGCATTCATTTTTATTCTGTCTACCTTTTACAGAACAAATCACTTTGAATATCACTTCTTAAAAAGGGACTGAACATGTCTAACAGGAATCACAAGGCAAATGAATTAACAATAGTGCAGTTTGTGAGATAGACATTTTTAAATGTCTGGAGTAGAAAACCAAAAATATTGTTTTCAAGGACTTTTTTCATTGTTCATGCAATTACAGGAAGCCTTTGTCTCCATAATGAAAAGAACTGAAGCTAAATTAATACAAAACTATTACATTTTTCCTTCTGTGCTGTATCTCAGATTATTGGAACAGCTGCTCTGATCGTGTGCATCCTGGCCATAGCTGATCCATGCAACAGTCCAGTCCCTAGAGGTCTGGAGGCCTTCGCAGTGGGCTTTGTTGTGTTGGTCATCGGCCTGTCAATGGGCTTCAACTCTGGCTATGCCGTCAACCCAGCCAGGGATTTAGGACCACGCATCTTTACGGCGGTTGCAGGCTGGGGTGGAGAGGTTTTCACGTGAGTGTAACAGTTAACGGTAAAATGATACAGCAGGATCGACTGATTGTGTGATTGGTGTCTCAGGGGGATGTGCTGAAGCTTGGATGTGAGTTCATCACTTGCCCCCCCTATTATGAGTTACTGGAGCCATTCATTTTAAATTTACTCAAAGAGGAGGAGGTCTATGTGGAGCTTGGAGGACATGGTGGACTGCAGTCACTATGGTTGACTTTACCAGGCTCTGAATTCATCAGTGGCCTCTGGTCCTTGATGTTTGCTGTTCTCAAACAGAGAAGGACCTGATTCAGTGGCATTTTGCTGGAAGGTGTGTCGAGAGGCATGATTTTACTTGGCAGGGGCACGTGCCAGCCAAGCATGTAGTTCCCTATGTCATGATTTCTCTCCAATTCAAGAAATCCCCATCAAAATATGACAAAAATCATATAGGATATATCCCTTGTCTAACAAACCAACCAACTAGACACATTATCCTAAAGAGAATTAAGAGGCTTCTCACTCTTAGTAATTTAGAGTTTAGCATTTAATCCATCCATCTATCCATTTTGTTACGCTTATCTGGGGTCGGCTTGTGGTGGCAGCAGGCTAAGCAGGTCATTCCAGTCATACCTCTTCTCAGCAGTCAAAGTGTTCCAAGGCCAGATGAGATACCTAATCCTTGCCACGAGGTCTGGGTCCACCTCCCAGCTGAATGTGCCCAGAAAACCTCCAAAGGAAGGTATATAGGGGGCATCAGATGTCCGACCCACCCCGGCTAGCTCCTTTTGATGCAAAAGAACAACATTTTTACGCTGGGATCCATCTGGATGTCTGGGCTTCTCACCCCATCTCTAAAGCTGAGCCCAGCCAGTCTACGGAGAAAACCCACTTTGGCTGCTTCTGTCTGAAAACTCATTCTTTTGGTCACCACTCAGTGCTCGTGATCGTAAGTGAGGGCTGGAGTGGCTAATCAAGAGCTTTGCCTTTTGGCTCCGCTCCCTCTTCACCACAATGGTCCAGTACAATGGCCCCATGATTGTTAATGCTGCTGCAATCCATCTGCTCATTCCATTCTCCATTTCCCCAGTCACTCATGAACAAAAATCATGAAGTACCTAAAGTTGTTTGCTTGGGGCAGCAACTCACTTACAATCCAGCGGGAGCAATCCACTGGCTTCTGGTGGAGGCGTCAGTCTTGGAGATCTTATTGAGTTTACCATTGTATTTCCATAAAGTTGGGGAACTCACAGGAGACAGGCCCAATCCCAGTCCTGACCAGAAGCCCTAAACCCTCACAGACTCAACTCAATGTAAGAGGCTACAAGGGCTCGGAATGGTATAAAACAGGAGCTGGCCAGCAGTTTTTTTTCTATCATTTTACCTTGAGGACGTCAACATGTTTCACTGTTTGTGGGTTTGGGACTTTTTGTTTCATGCTTTCTTCATGGCCAAGGCTCTGAAGGGGAAGCATATTTAGAATTCCTAATGTTATCGTAGAACAAACAGCTACACAGAGTTCTGGGTATGAATCACCAGTGAGCTTTGTGTTTACACTTACATTCCTTTAAATGGCAGAGTTATAGATGCACTAGCTAACTGATGTACTGGCCCTTGTATCCCGCTTCTAAGATGCCCACTTCTCTCAACCTCCACCTCTTCAGTTTGCAATTTCAGCTTTAATTTACATTTTTCTAATGCTCAATCTGAGGTAATGACACCATAATCGGCCTCAGCTGACATCACTAATGCTATTTTTGCAAACTCTGGGAAACTTCCTGTAAAACCGAAGAAGATATAATGCACTTGTTGTTATAAAACTTCTTGTGATGAGTGAACTTGTACAAAATGCCTCTTTAAACATATTCAAGCGTAACCCTCAGCATTGACGCTGCTCGCATACCTTCTGACTGGTAGCGCCACATTTCTGTAATGTCTGACATGCACTCATTTCTTTTTTAGGCTTGTTATCGCAGGTAAACGAAATATTCTGAAACAGCACAAAGCATTCCAGTTTATTTTTTCCCCTATTTTCCTCCTCCAGAGCGAACACCTACTGGTTCTTTGTGCCCATCTGTGCTCCATTCTTGGGCGCAGTGGTGGGTGTGTTGATGTACCAGCTGATGATTGGATACCATCTACAAGGAGTAGTGCAAGAGGAGCAGAGGGAGGAGGAGGAAAGGTTCAAACTCTCCAATATCACAACCAACGAAGATGCATGAGCTCATCTGAATTTCTTTCTACAATTATGCCGCAGTAAAACACTCCCACTAAACATGTTTTCTCCTTTGTTTAGTAAACCTGTTTACTTTTATACATCACTTTTTTTTAACCAACAGGTAAGCCTTCAATCAATGATCATGAAGCCATTTACTTTTGCGTCCTCTCATCACATATAGAAAGCGTCTCTCAGAAAATGACGGCGCTTGTTTTTGTGTTCATTTTCATTGAACTCCAGTAAGCTCTTCCATTTCTACTTGAAGCACAAAACTATTTCCTTCATGCTGTGTGTCTGACAAAACAAATCTATCAGCTCACGGGAAAAAAAGCCAAACAAAAGACAGTTTACGCTGAAGCAGTACTTGAGAGATGCCTTGTTTATTTCTGTCTAAGGTGGAGGTAACCTTCAAATCACCAACAAATCAAAAAGCATCCACACTCAACCCTTTCTACTGCAATTTCTTTCATTTTGGAAGAACTGTGTGTGTCACTTCTGCAGGGTTCCTGAGCTGGAGGCACATTTTCTTCTTCTTCTTTAAAAAAAAAAAGAAAAAGAAAAAACACCCTCAAACAGAAACACATTATAAATCAGCACAACCGTATTATGCTGAAATTTTAGCATTGCAAAATCCAACAGTGTGAAATTTCTTAAACGGTTACTACCTGCCTCCATGTGTTCCCACCACCCAACAGCTTGTAACACCTCTTGTCTGATGTTTACCTAATTAAAATGATGTGTAAGTAATTAAAGCACACGAGAGCACAATGCAGTCTATTACTCTTCTTTGACTTAGAATTGGCTTTTGCAATAATTATGTGCAGGTCCTCCTTTTTCAAAAGGTCTAAAGTTATGTAAAACCTTGAATCCTTCAAACCTTTAATAGCAGCTGAAAGACTAAATGTGTGATAGAAGAATACAGAGCCTATACACATGTACAGCTTGCTGTACTATAATGATAATGTAAGTTATACAGTGTGTAACTTTACACTGTACAAAGACAAATTTAGAAAAACTAACAGATGGATTGTAACTGAATCAAATTCTAAAAATGTATTTGCAGTATTAAACTTAAAAGTTTAATTTATTAAATAAAAAAAGAAAGGTTATTGAAAATTTGATGAATTTGCAGATTTATTTCAACAGTTCCTTTATGTAAAGAAAAAAACTTTTTCCTTTTAAAATGAAATCTTTTGTTGTGCAGTTTCAAGTTTTTAATGTTCTTTTACAAAATACATTTAAAGTCAGTCTGTGTGTTTTTTCTACTATAAAGATATTTTAGTGCAATGTAAAAATCTGGGGGAAAAAATACTAAACTATACTAACTAAATAAAGAGAAATCTGTAATTTTTAAAATGGATTTATTTATTTTTACAGTGTAAATTAATTTCTGTCTCACAGATGAAATCGCATGAGTAAGAAGTGAAACAGAGTTAAAACAGCAGGAATCTCACTGTTGTCTTTAAAAATAATTATTTAGTCTTACCTTAAAAAGAAATAGAATTACTTCACACAATTACTTTGAGAAATACTTTAATTTAGAGAGAGCCATGCAGGCAGTTTAACGCTGCTTCAAGTCGTTTAGCTTTGTACATACATGTGATTGATCTTTTCATAAAACTCTCAGCAAGACAGCAAATAAGCAGAGCTCCCAAAAACACTGCTGGAGACTATTAAAGCCAATCACATGGGGATGTTTTATGCAAAACATAGTAAGTTTCGTTTTCTGATGCTCAGCTAAAGTATTCAGAGTAAACTGTTTCGCAGCTTCTTGGACTGCCAACACTCGCCTCAGCCATGTCGCTGTATGGCCCAGCTTGTCAGGATCTATATTATAATCTGCTTCCACAAATTACAAGAAGATGTTATCCAACTGAATGCAGAAGATTTAGCTTTTCCATTCTACACTTAGGGCTCCAGAGAACTTACAGCTTACCCCATCCTGCCATAAATCCTATCTATGGAGCATTCTTACAGCCACTATGTGAAGAAATTACTGAACAATTCCAACTTTTGCTGCTCTTAGAGGTAGCGTCAAAAAGGACGGAGACGCTGAGAAACTACACAAACTTATCTAGAACAATTTGCAAAATGTTGTGTTTACAGAAATGTTTTTTAAATGAACAAATTTAAGTTTTACGCCGTCAAGCAGAAACCAAAATAATTTCAGCTCAGAACACACAAAAGCATTTATCTAGACTGTTGCTTTGGAACTGCAGCACTCACCTCTTCCACACCTGTTTGTCTCTCGCGGTTCACAAAGGTTTCATGCCCTCTCCTACAATGACACACTTGCCTGCAATTTGCTAGCCTAATTTAAGATTTGCCTCAGCTGGCCCCGCGCTCAGAATGACGTCATCATAACAGATGGTTTCAAATTGAGTTGAGATGGTCAGCACCTATTTATCTGTGTTGAGTCACTTATGGATCGCTGTATCATCACCCCAATTAGGCAGTCCCTTAGAGGCAGTATTCCCAAAAATAGAAAAAGATTGGTATGCTTCCAGGTGAAAAGCTTCAAGACTTCACTGTTGTTGGTGTGGCTGATGGGCAGAGAGTTGCATTAGAGATTCACCAGAATGCAAATAGTGACATTTGCCACATTACAAATGCCCTCCAAACTGTTAATATACCCTTTTGGTGTGTAGTGTCTCAGGTGGTATCACTGTTAAAAAATTGATCTTGATTTGAAAGGGCACTAAGGGCACAAAAAAAAGGTCAGGGGTATTTGCTCAAAACAAGGCTTCCGCAGCACAGCAAGGCGCACACACCCTCATCAAGTTACTATCACTCACCACAGACACCCATCAATGTCCAATTACCATTATCAGAAGGGAAAAAGCAAATTCCGCATCAAAATATCAGTAATGACATTTTTTGGGGGTCTGGAAAAGAATATCAATCCATCAGATCTTACAAAGGCTTAAACTTCAGAGACGGACGTTTGACATTTGGACTCCCTCTTTGGCATGACCTTTGCAGCAGTTCACCAAACATATCTAGTGTCAATCTAGCGGCTTGCCTCTGAAATTTCAATTTACATTCCTGCTGATTAGCAGACGGGAAGCGGAGAGGGCAGCGGCAGTTTGATTTTGCTTTTTAAAAGATGTCACGGCAGAACAGAAGCAAGGTTCAACCGTGTTATCAGTTTTTTAAAAAAAAGTTACAAATGTGACAAGCTCTGATGATGTGAAACAGCATAGACGATCAGAAAATCCTCCTCATTTGCTATTCACTGTGGGTGCCGGGCCAGAAACATGTGGCGGAGATGAAAACATGTTATCTATGACTAGAAAATAAAATCAGCAACATCAGCTGCAAGAACAACAAGAACCTCCTTCATGGTTGACACATTGGTTTGTTGCCTACATCTGATCACTGACAACATATACGAGGTACGTTATTAAATATAAAAAAACAACATGTACAAGCTGGGCAGGAGTTTTTCATATAAGATTAAACATACTGGATATTGCATGCTATATTCAGCTTTTAATGTGATGCCACACAGGCATTTCAATGCAGGCGGAGCAGCATGAAACCTTGAGCCACAGCTCCACTGTGTGGCGAAAACATGAACTTCTAACACTAAATCCATCCATCCATCCATGATCTATACACCGCCTAACCCTCACTGGGGTCGTGGGGGGTTGGAGTCTATCCCAGCTGACTCAGGGTGATGGCAGGGGACACCCTGGACATGTCACCAGTCTATCACAGGGCTACACTTAGAGACAGACAACCACATTCACACCTGTGGACAATTTAGAATCACCAATTAACCTCAACATGTTTTTGGACCATTCTGCGTGGAGTCTCCATGTTCTCCCCGTGCAGCGTGGGTTCTCTCCGGGTTCTCCGGCTTCCTCCCACACAGTCCAAAAACATGTTGAGGTTAATTGGTGATTCTAAATTGTCCGTAAGTGTGAATGTGAGTGTGCTTGGTTGTCTGTCTCTAAGTGTAGCCCTGTGATAGACTGGTTACCTGTCCAGGGTGTCCCCTGCCTTCACCCTAAGTCAGCTGGGATAGACTCCAGCCCCCCGCGACCCTAGTGAGGATTAAGCGGTGTATAGATAACGGATGGATGGATGTTTTTGGACTGTGTGGGAGGAAGATGGAGAACACGGAGAGAACCCACGCTTCACAGAGAAAACATGCAAACTCCACACAGAAAGATCCCATGTATCCTCACCGGGATGCGAACAGCGACCTTCTAGCTGCGAGGTGCTAACCACCGAGCCACCTTGCAGCCCCCCACACACAGAATTGTGAGGAAGCAACACACACACACACACACACACAAACAAACAACTCTGGTCAGCTAAAAGGACAGAGGAGTCATAGATAACCACTGTTAACTAATTCAGTACAAGTGTTTCAATAAAGCTACACTGTTTATAAATTGTGTCAATGTGAATGATAATAAGCAGATCCTGGTTACATGTTCACATCACGTCTTGTAACTGATACAAGTATTTACAATGGTGTGTGAATCCTGTCAGACAAATTGCTATTCAAATAAACATCTGTCCTATAGTGTTATTTAGCTTCAGATGAAATCATATCACATTCTTGGGCAGCAGGTTCTCTTGGGGTTATTCGAGCCAGTGACTGCACAGGTGGATGTTTGCTGAGACTAAATGGAAAAAGTCCAAAGAAATGAAAAGAAAGGCTCATTGTCTTCACATCCTTATTCGATATAACTTTCTGTTGGATGATACACCACCACCCCTGCTTGAGAGTATCACGTTGCACAGAGGGGTGGCAGCAGACATATCTTCATTCCACACAGCCACAGCAAGCTCTTGAAATGGAATACTCCTACAAACACGTTACATGCACCAGGAAACTATGTGTTGCATGCAGCAAGGGTGATTACCCTGATTATCACCTGCTGTGCAGCTTCCTGTTTGCACTGTCACAGTCAGTTATTTACTCAGATGTGTAGAATTTCTTACACTCTGTTATTTTGGATGGTTTTAACCGTCATATTTAAATTACTC